ATCAAAACAATATTTTACATGAAATAAATTGACCAAAATACCCCCAAAAAGTTTCAGGGGTATTTTGGTTATTTTTTTACAAATTATTTTTTTATATTTTTATTCGGTGAACCTCACTAAGATGTACACACACTCCAAATTTCAGATCATTCCGATTTGTTGGAAAAAAAATGAAAAATAAAACATTATCGGGCAATCGTGACCATACGATGAACTTTAGAAGGTGATGATGGTAGGCGAAATCACTGTTCATTTTCGCCTATTGGAGTTGGGAAGACTTTTCCATATATATATATATATATATATATATAATCTATACTTCACAACTTCAAATTATAAAGGTTAAAGATAGTAAGAATTGTGAAGGGTGGATTTACTAGTTTCATAGTTTAATTTTTAAAAAAAGTTAAAAAGGGTAAAATTGAAAAATTTTACTACAAGGGGTACCTTTTTGTAAAGGCAATTTTGTAAATATTACTACAAGGGGTATTTTTTTTCATCTCTACGAAGGGTAAAATTGAAATTTTTATTAAAAGACAAAGGCAATCTACAAATAAAATTCCAAGACACTGACTTCCAAAATTACATTGTACTTTTGTAACAATTTCAAATTTCATAGCTTAATAGTTAAGTTACCTATTAAAATATTTTTTTAAATAAAAATTAATCATTTTTTTGATATATACACCCATCACAACCCTTTTTAACTTTAACCTTTGTATTTTGAGGGGTTGTTAACTCTAGACAAACTCATATATATATATATATATATATATATATATAGGAAAACACTACGCAAAGCCTATAGGCGAAAATGAACAGTGATTTCACCTATCCCCATCAGCGTCCAAAGTTCATCGCGGTGTCACGATTGTCCAGTAGTGTTCTATTTTTTATTTTTTTTCTACAAATCGAAATGCCCTGAAATTTGGAGCGTGTATTCATCAAAAATAGGGAATCTTTGAAAATTATAAAAAAAAATATTTTATATGAAAAACATTGACCAAAATACCCCCAAAATATTTTAGAGGTATTTTGGTCAATTTAGTTTTTGCGGATAATTTGTTTTATGTTTTTATTAGATGCGTCTTAGTAAGGTGTACATACTTTCCAAATTTCAGGTCATTTTGATTTGTAGAAAAACTATGAAAAATAAAACACTATCGGACAATCGTGATCACGCGATGAAATTTGGACGATGATGAGGGTAGGCGAAATCAATATTCATTTTCGCTTTGAAAAGACTTTTCCTTTTTATATATATAGTATGCAAATGCAATTCATGCCGTGCACGGCATGAATTGGGAGGGAAAGAGAAAAGGAAGAGATTTATTTATTTTTGGACATTATAAGACAAGGAAGAGATATTGATAAAGAAGGAGACTTCTTTAAAATTTGAGAGAGAGAACATTGAAGAATAACAAGGAGGGAACTTGTAGATTGGGGAATTCTCAAACGAAAATGTGCAAGCAATGTGATTTTTAAAATAAAGATTCAATTCGGTCAATAATTCAAAACATAATTTTAAATGAAACTTATGTAATTTTAAATAACTATTGAGTATATCACATATTTGAGAATTTTTAAGGGGCAAAAATCTATAAATAAGAGTGTCTGAAAATTATTTTGTAATAAGATTTAGAAGATCTAAATCTTGATATGGTTATTACTTATTTATTGGTACCCATCTTAGTATTGTCACTTGGGGGTGCTACGCATGTTAAATACACTGAGTCTTTAAGTTTGCTCCTTGGATTTGGTGAGGAAACCTAGTCTACTAAGTATCGTCCACTTGGCATGAATCCACAAATTATGCGTAGCTATTGAATTTTTTATATCCACACTCATTGTCAATGAGTATGCGATTTACCTATGAACTATCACTTGTATATGAGTATATATAGAGGGAAATTCTAGCACTAGCAAGTGGGTTTATAACTACATGTAGGTCCAACGGTTTAGACTGAATAGGGGTCGATCTGATATGCATAAATTTTATTTTATATTTTAATTTTAATTTTTTTATCTATCAATCCAAATCACGTGAAATTTTAGGCATTTATTCTTCTCATCAAGGCGTACCTAATAAAAATATTAAAAAATAATTCGAAAGATATAAATTGATCAAAATAACCCTGAAATGTTTCGAGAGTATTTTGATCAATTTATTTCTTAAGAAATATTTTTTTGATATTTTTATTAGATTCTTCTACTTTTAAAAAACACACACCCAAAATTTCAAGTGATATAGATTTATATAAAAAAATTAAAATTAAAATACGAAATAAAATTGTGATAATTGAATCAACCTAGATTGAATTTGTGCCGTTAGGCTCATAT